TCCATTTTTGCCATGTTTATGATAAATATACTCTCCTCTCAAAAGAAAAAGGACGGTACAACTATATTTGGCTTGGGGCATTTTCATTGCCGTGGTACTCTTATAGTTGTAATTACTGTCTCTCGAAAAAGTATGGTACAACTATATCTCGCTCAGGGCATTTTCATTCCATATAATAAAACATGGTCTAGTCACTGACAAGTGAGTCCAAAGAAAAAACAAAAATGGAACAAAACATTCTAGCAATTGTGCAAAGCAATAAGAGAAAGTCAACTTCTTTGCCATCACTTTTTTGCAATAAAAAAAACTAAGAACAGAAATTTTCTTCATATTCACATCAAAATCTCATAAATTTACAACAGTGTAGAAAAATCTGTATTTCTGGACTAAAAACCTTAAATATCTAATTTGCACTTTCATTTCTTTCATCGAGAAAATAGTTAGAGAGAGAAAAAGCTAACACAAAAATAAGGGTGTCCTCCTATACATCTGGAAAAACACAGATGAAAAATATCATAACTCAACCGAAGCACTTTCTTCAATTGGATTCCTCCTCATAAGGGATTTAACCACATGCCTGCTCTTTGATTATCAGAATACTAGAAATCTGCAGGGAAGTGTATGCTCTATAAAAAATATGGTTAGAACAGTAAATATGGCTAGCTAGAGGCAGAAAGATGTCATTAAGCAAGAATTTCTTGCCAATCAGCTGCTTCTTTTCTTAATAAGAACCAAGCAACAACAAGGACAAGGCAACGAAAGAATGTCTATGCAAAATAACTAAGTTTTACAAAAAGTTATGTGATGGTTGAACAACAAAATCTCATGTCAATGAACTGAGGGGATACACGAGAAAGGAGGATATACAGAATAAGGACAATCCTACCTCCTGAGGCCAAGAATGTCGACAAGGGAATCAAAACCAAACAACTCCAATTTGGAGCCCCTGTCAGGGCCGTTTGCTCCTTCACCATCAGGTACAAACCCTCCTCCGGCATTAGGACCCATATTTGCCTGCGTGCTAACCTTTATTTTCCTGTCAAAATATGATTTGTTACATATGAGGTAATTTCTTGCATAAAAAATGAATAAAAACTTGTAAAATCCCAGCTGAATTTTGGAATATTGTCATAGCATAAATGCAGAGCAAGTAAATTATTCGTATCTTAAATTGTTTCAACTTCTTAAATTCCAGCTACTAACATCCTAAGAGGGAAATATTTAGTAACCCAAGTATCTAAATAGCTGCATAGGATCAAGCATTAACTTCTATTGTTTTTGCACTCCCAGCATATTATTGTCACTATAGTTAATTTCAAAGAATTTTCCATGATCTGTACATCCATTCTTGGATTAAGCGTTAAATTCTATTATTTTTGCACTCCCAGCATATTATTATCCGTCACTATAATTAATTTCAAAGAATTTTCCATGAGTCTGTACATTCATTCTTTGACCTTCATTCGAGCAGTTCTAACTGACATTATTAATACTAGCATGGCACAAATAAAAGTGATATATAATTCAAATGAAGATTATTTGGAAGAAGAAAAACAAGTCCTACTCTCCCTCCCATCCATTCTCTAAGCAACTAAACAAAGAGCCTGAAGATAAGATATCCATTAAACATCCCAAACTCAAGAACCGCAGAGAAAGCATGAAAGATAACCTATACCCAAGCTATTACAGCATTAATTTTTTTTTTGAAGTGATGAGAAAATGAAACCAAACATGCACAACAAGAAGAGTAAAGGCTTTAGTTTCTTATGATAACAAACGTACATTAAGAAGAGCCTTGTACTTGCATGAATTCCAACGCATTTAAGCATACTTGAACCATATTTACGAGAAATTATTTTGTGAACCTCTATATGCTGAAGTGGCATCTTAGAGAAATTAAACAAATAACCGTTTTCTTTCCTTTTGAATCGCTGGTTTCTCGTCAACCAAACACATATATTAAATAAAACATCAAATCTTCTGCATCCTTAACGTTCAAAACCAACACTTCTCCAACACTATTGTAAATGCAGTAACATGTACGCATGTTTACCTCCTCAAACAATATGAGCATCTAAAGAAATTGTCAAATTCTTTTACAGAAGCTCACTTCAAATAAATTTAACAAACATATAAAAAAAAACATACAGAAAGAGAGAATTACTTGATATTATGAATAGGAATAGAAGTGGAGGGAGATCCTGGATCCATAGAAGACATCTCGACAATAGCACGATCATGTGCCACCACCGGCCTGTATTTCCTCCCAGTTTGCGGACGCAGCTCGTCATCTCCTCCTTCAATGTCACCGTTATCCATTTCCGTCTACTACTCTGCTCAGAGATCAATCCGGATATCTTCCTCTTCCCCCCGGCTGGCAAAACACCACTCAGATCCAGATTGAACAAAAAGGCAGCAACCAGACAAAAACTACCTTATATATGCATCACCATTTTCTGAATAATATAATAACCGACGTAGATTTGAGAGGAACAGATTTTCTTTTCCTACTTTTCGTTTTACAAGATAAATAAATCAAGAGGGAGACGTCGTTGAATGGAGAAGAGAAATTTCTATACTGAGGAAAAAGAATTAAGAGAGGAAAAATGGCTCGAGTTCATCTGAATTTTGACCTTATTTGAAATGGGAAAATTCCCACACCCAATATTAATTTTTTTTTACGTATTTATTTTTATTTCTTTATGCATCAAAATAATTTTTATTTTAATAAAATAAATAATAAATTATAAAATTCATGAAGTAACATTTTTTATGACAATCTAGAGGAACTTACCGTAATTCTCTTATTTTGAAAAAATAACTTTGATTATAATTAGTGTAGTAATAATAATAATCTCGCAAATTTTTATTACAAATACTAATGTAATATTAAGATCCGAAATTAATTTTAATATTCTAAAATGTATTAAAAATTTATTTTTGAAATTAACAAATTTAAATTTAATATAAAATTATGAAAAAATAGATTATTGATAAAATTGAAAATAGTTTTGAAAAAAATTGGTGAAAATTTAGATTCAAATGGTGTTTCTGAAAAAAAAAATCGAAAACTAGAGGTTAAAATGCAAATAAGAAAAATTTAGTCACGTAGGACCGTCAAGCCAACAAATTCGACGAATCAGAACGCGCCGTGTGGCAAAACACGCTAACTCAGTGTCATGCGAGAGGCCAGGTAGGCGATATGCGTACCCAGTGATCCGACGACCCATAAGCGATCCAACGCACGTGGACGGTCTAGATCAGTTTCCTCCTTAAGCGCGATCGAACAATTGAGATTAAACGCAATGAATAGTGCAGATTCGTTTCCTCCTTAGACACAATCAAACAGTCGAGATCCAATGCTATGAACGGTCCAGATTAATGCGAGAAATGTATAAATATTTCGCATCACACTGAACCCAAACACTATCAGCCAGCCTCCTACCGGAGAAGAAGAATTGGTCGTCAGAGAAAGGAGTTGACCGTTGACTATTGTCGCACTAGAGCCACCTATGACTGTCAAAAAAGTAAAAAAACTTTACTCGACTGGAATTCGATTCTGAGCACCCATGTGGCCATGTCGGAGCAAAACGAACAATGGGTGAGCTGAAAACCACGGACAAAGCCCAGCGGAGCCGCCGCGGGCAAAACCCGCAACTTTCTCCGATGAGCTCCTTCCCGTTTTTCCTTTTGTGCGATTTTTTTACCGTTGTATTCACCATTCTCTTTTCTAAACGTTGACTGAAGAAAAAAATTCCAGCCGCGAAGGTGAGCCGGCGGAGCCGCCACACCCGAAAAACCCCATCACTTGTATATTTTCGTTTTCTGATTTTTTTTTTTTGCCAACTGATGCCCCGAAATGTATTTTTTCACAAGGATATGTATAAAGTCGGCTGAAACTGGCAAAAATTGGCCGAAAACAACCAGGTTGAGGCAAATTGCCCCCGTACGCGGTGGTGCCATCGCCAGAGCACGGCAGTGCCGCTGTGCCGGAACCTTGAAATTGGTCAGAGAGAATTTTAACACCAATTTTGGATTTTTGGGGTATTTTTAGATACATGAAGTGTGTTTTAATCTCCGCAAGAAAATGCAGAAAATTCAGGGACCGTTAGTAGGCAGAGTAAAAAATTCAGTATTTCAAATACTGATTCGGGTAAGGAACCCTCACATTTTATCCGTTACGGTAAATTGATGCTTAATAATTAATAATTATGTATTTTTATAAAAAATTAGAGAACTTTACAAATAATTACAGGTCACTAGTGGAGCCGGAACTGGTTAGTTCATTGTTGTTTTGATCTCCTATTTATTTTCCTGTATTGTCTATATTTTGTTACTATTATACTATTTGTAATTCAATTGATGATTTTTAGGATCTTTTTGATTATTTGGTTATTTGTTTCCCTTGCATTGTGTGTCGGTATTTCGGTCATTGATTATTTGGCTATGTTAAACTATATTGTTGTCTAAGTGAACTATGAATATAAAATGAGATATGATTATTGTGCAATTAATTGTTATATTGATAAAAATTTGTATGGAAAAGACTTACTGGGTACCCAAAAAAGAGCAGACGGGCCTAATACTTAGAAAATCCTACCGTAAATATTATCTCAGTTGGACGGGGCTGAGAAGTCCCTTACCAATAAGGTTTAGAAGATATGGTTCACTTTCATACCGGATGAGATATCGAGATGGTGGAATATTTGGTGCCCATTATCGGATGAGGTATGGGGACAATTGGTTAATTGTTTCATTGAATATTGGGTTCACGAGTAGAATGACATCCCTATTGACCCCCAGTGTACTGGTAAATGGGTAAAAATATAAAATAATCGTTTCTTATTATCTTATATGTGATAAATAATAGTGTATGAATATGAGTTTTCATAAATTATTGTTGGAAAAGACTTATTACACAAATATAGAATAAATGGTTTTCTTTATAGTAAATGAATTTACATTAAATTAAGGGCTCTATTGGTTATTTTTCTAATTTTTACAAATTTTTAACTTTCTGTATATGTGATTAGTGTGATATTCTTACAGGGTTAGTGTAGCTAACAATTTCATTAACTATTTCAGAACAAGAAGACCAAGATCTATATTTCAATCAACGAGAGGGTTATGAATAGTTCACCACTCGGACTCCCTTCAAAAGTTAGTGAAAGTCATATTAAGATGCTTAGTGATTTGTTTTACATTTATTTCTTTGATTTTTATTTATTTTTTTCAAAATGAACACTTCTGTATCCCTTTTGGGCATTCTAAATTATTGTGTAAGGAATGTAAATTATCACTCTATTATTTCACTTATGTATTTAATTTATAACTTTATTTTATATAAACTTTCAGATCTTTACAGTTGGTATCATAACCGCATTCCTCAGAATCATTCCTTATACAAAAACCTAAGGAAACACTAAA